CCGCATCTTATCTCTGCGTCTATCTGATTCCTGCTTGTACTTTAAGTCTAAACTGTAGCATTACTAACCTTTAGAAGGATTCTCAGATTACTTTCCATAACACACCTACAGGTAGAAACGAACCATCACTCACTCCTGTGTGAATATACTAAACTCCATTGTTGTTGCTGCTAAGTGCCTTCCAGTTGGTTCTCACTCATAGTGACTATATAGTTTCCCAGGCTTTTAAATCTTTGTGAGAGCCTCATCTTTCTTCTGTGGAGCAGCTTGTGGGCTCTAACCACAGACTTTGTGGTTCTCAGTCCAGTGCTAATCCTATTAGAATCTTTACTTCCCCATGGATGTTGACTGATAGGCTTGTCTCCCCCATGTAGTTTACGAGGCACTAGAAGGCAAAGGTTGGGTCTCACTCAACACTGTGCCCCCAAGTCCATGCACAGTGATTGGCATGGAGCAAGCCCCTAAATGGTGAATTGAATTAAACATGCTTTATGATTTTAATATTTTCAATTATATTGCAATAATCAATTATAATGCAATGGGTTAGTGCTCAACTGATAACAGAAAGGTCCATGGTGTGAACCCACCAGCCAATCTTTAAAAGAAAACATTTGACGATCTCTTTCTGTAAATACTGCAACGTAGGAAACCCTATGGGGTCGTTCTACTCGGTCCTATAAATTCACTGAGTCAGAATTACTTGATAGCACACAACAGCAACCATGATATGGATCAATACATCAGATATTCTCATGCACTGTGTTGCATGGTTGTGTTTAAAGAATTAGAGTCTGCTACCTATGCAACTATGGAGTCCTGGTGTGGCACTGTGGGTTAATGCGCTAGGCTGTAAGGCCAGTTTGAACCTCCGGGTTGGCGGTTAAAGCTCACCAGCCACTCCACAGAAAACCCTATACAGGGTTGCTATGAGTCAGAACTGATTCAAAGGCACATAACAACAACCTAAACAACTGTGTGTCGAGAAAGAATAAAGAAATCCACATGCATTCATGTTCTTTAACTTCCTTTGTTTCGGAGTGAATCAATCCTACTGAAGGTGGTGGTAACTTTTACACTTTAGCTCCCCAGCTCTGGTGATCTGTGGAGCATTCACATGGACTTTGAAACCAAACGGCTGGATCCCTGGGAACGAATCATACCTGCCTTCAAGTACAGCCGAGATGTTCCATTTTTTGAAATGCTTGTCCCCACAACTGACACTGTGCGCTTTGGATATCTAATGGAAAAACTACTTGCGGTCAAACATTCAGTGTTGTTTACTGGAATAACTGGAGTTGGTAAGGTAGGAAACCTACATTAAACAAGAATGTCTAATATTGAGAGTGTATTAAACTTAGAATTACAAGCACCAGAAATCCTGCATTATTTCTCAGGGGAAGTTCTTTTGAATTTTGATCATTTTTTTCAGGAAGAAAGTACCTGTGCTGAATCCATATGGACCCTAGGAATTGTTCCACAGTTTGCCAGTTCCTGAATAAATCCTCGGTGTCAGTATTATATAAACCAGAGGATCCTGTGGACTATTGTTAGTGTCTTAGTGCTTTGGCATTGTGCCCCTTGCAATTTCTGGGGCTGTCTACTGCACTGGTCAGGGTAGGAATTAGCCAGAGCAGCTGATGTCCCCAGTAGACTGTTGATGAAGGTCAGTTTGTTTCTTCAGCCTATTATGTAGCATGGCAGCAGTATCGTTTGACTATTGTGGAGAAAAGCCAAGCATGGGGAGAAATGCTGACTATTGGACTTGTTGGTTTGGGGAGATCCCACATAGACAGGGATTCACTGGCTCTGGGTCTCTATTGTTTCTAAAAGAGATGCAGCATGTGTCTGGGTCCTTCTGTGACTCTTGATATCAAATTGGCTTATACAGTACTCAAAAAGATTTCGGTATGAAAATAGATGCAAGCTTTTGTCAGAATGAGATGGAGTCAGTTAGAATATTGGTTTGATGCTCATAAATATGACTAAATGGAATCTCCAGCAAAAGAAACACAGACATTCTAATATGGCTCTAACCTCTCTCACCTTGCATCCTATTCTGTCTCATCATATTGGTTTATAGACAATTGAGAAAATATTCTATTGAATTTGAAATCAATGTTTTTTTTTCGTTTTAATTTAAAGTCTGTTATAGCAAAGGGATTATTAAATAAAATTCAAGAGACAGCTGGCTATGTTCCTGTTTATCTAAATTTTTCTGCTCAAACTTCATCTGCAAGGACACAAGAGATTATTGAGTCAAAACTGGAACGGAAAAGAAAAAATATTCTAGGTAAGCATTAGCATGTTAGTTTGCCCCACACAAGTTACTTATCACTCTTATAAACCGCTGGAAGAGTGCACAGAATACAAACACAGTTGTAATGACTCCAAGCACAGGGGCATGGCTGTGTGTTCATCAGGCAGAGACCTCCTCTGCGTTAAGCCCTTCTCTCATCCCCGCCATAACTCACGCTTCCTTGGCAAGTTTGTATAGTGACTTAATGGAAGTTAATGTGACATTGTGCAGCGTCACTACATTGATGTAATCAGGATGCTTGGGCATGTCTAGACTTTTTTTCTCCATGAGGGTGGTGGATGGCATTTGTGTGAGTAAACCTTCGGTGACCTTCTTCACATCATGCCCATGCCACACAGTTGGTGAGGGCAGTGGTTGTGACAGAGACTGAGGAAAGTGGAGCTCTCACAGGAAGTCAGGTGCCTATGAGAGTGGGGGACATGGGTGGGGCTGACAACGTGAATGTGAGACCAAAGGGAGGGCTCTCTTCCTCACTCCAGAAGAACTGAGCTCACAATGTCTCCCACTTAGCATGAACTCAGACCTAAGTTTTGAGTGACATGTTCCAAGGGCAAATTGTCATTTTAAAATTAATTGTCTTCCCCCACAGGTGCACCAGGAAACAAACGAGTTGTGATTTTTGTTGACGACTTAAACATGCCCAGACTAGATCGCTATGGCTCTCAGCCACCCATTGAGTTACTACGGCAGTACCAAGATTTTGGTGGATTTTATGACAGAAACAAACTCTTTTGGAAAGAAATCCAGGTAGTTTCTGTTTAAAGTTATTTTGTATTCTTACATTTAAATGGCATGGGAAGGAATGTGACATCAGAGTTTCTTTGATGTCATTCAGTCCATTCAATTTAACTCATATAACTCAGTTTATCTAGTTGCGTTCCTGCAATGCCCAATTCAGAGATTCAGGAACAAGTGACAGTCTCCATCCCTGAGGGGTCAGCTTCAGTGTGAACAGTGTGTTTGTAATGCAGGGTGATGAGTTGAAAGACAGGAGGGAATTGTGGGGCTGGGTTGAGCTTGAGAGAAAGAAGCCTTCTCAGAGGAAGTGATTTCAAGGCACTGTAGGATAAGTATGGACAGCAATGTCAGTTTGAACTGCAGGGTCAGCAGTTTAAACTCACTAGCCACTCCTCAAAAACCCTATCCAGAATCACTGTGAGTTAGAACTGACTCCAAGGCACTTAACAACAACCATAACATCTCCTTAGCAAAGCAAGGAAATTCAGGTTTTCCAGCCCAGGAGCAGGGCCTGTGTAATACCATGCAGTGCTCAATGTGAGCACCCAAGTAGCTGGAAAAGATGCCTGAGAGGTTTCCAGAGGGCCCTGATGCCATGATGAGGAACATGGGTTGCTCCTGTGAGTGATGGGGAACCTCTGAAGGGAACGTTATGGAAAGCTCCCACTGGCTGCAGCGTAGCAGTGAACTAGAGAGAAAGCAAGACCAGAGGCCACTGCAGGATCTGAGAGGAGAGGAGGTTGGTGCCCCGTGTGTTGAAGGTTGACAAGCAGGTTAAGGGAAGATTGATATGATGTGTAGGATGTGGAGACTGAGCGGGAAGGAGCTTAAGATATCGGCCCTGTGTCTGTTCTGGAGAATGTGACCCCTCAACCCAGACAGGAAAGAGGAACCAGTTTTGTTTTGTGTACAGTAAAAACAAGCATTGAGTTGTACCAGGCAGTTCTAAGTACCTCCCACTTACTAACTCCCCTGACATTCTATTAGTACTATGAGCCCCATTTTACAGATGAAGAAACAGACGACCATAATATTAATATTTAAGTAACCAACCCAAGGTCACACTACTACTAAATGGCAGAACTGGGATTTGAACCCAGATCATTGGACTCACAAATCAATACTTTCAGCCAAGATTTCTCCCTGTCCCCATGTTAAGCTCAGGTGCGTTGGGCCATCTAAGTAGAACTCTACCAGGCTATTGGCTTCTTAAGCAAGAAAACTAGAGAAAGGAGAAATGAGAAATTACTTTAAAAAAAAATATTTAGAAGGAAAGGAAAGGTTATAGATAGAAGTCCAAAAGAGGAGGTCACTTTTACATACGTGAAGTAGACTTACACATATTAAGCATTTAATGCAACGTAACAGACACAGTGTCTATCATGTAAATTACAAGACTGAGTGAAAAGTCTTTAATTCAGCCAATTAGACAGTCAATAAATATTTATTGAGCATCTACTATAAATTATGCCAGGAACTATTTTATATCCTGGGGATTAATGTTGTCAGTTGCCATCAAATTGGTGCCAACTCCTGATAACAGAATGAAAGATTTCCCGGTCCTATGCTCTGGTAGCATAGTGGTTACAAATTGGGCTGCAAACCTCAAGGTCAGCAGTTTGAAACTACCAGCTGCTCCGTGGGAGAAAGATAAGGCTTTCTGCTCCCGTAAAGATTTACAGCCTCGGAAACCCTGTTCAGGGTCACTATGAGTCGCAACCAACTCGATTGCACTGAACAACAACATACCATCTCCATGACCTTTGATGTGTATGAACCCATTGTTGAGGCTGTCATGTTAATCAATCTCAACGAGGGTTTTCCTCATTTTTTGCTGGCCCTTGACTTGACTAAACACGGTGCCCTTTTCTAGTGAGAGATACCAGAGCGAGTGACACTGTCAAAACTCTCTGCTCTAGCAGAGCTCCCAGCAGCAAACCTGGATGGTGCACATGGCTAAGTGCTCATCTAATCATCTAAAAATTGGAAATTCAAACCCACCCAAAGCTGCTATGGAAGGTAGGCCTGACAATCTGCTTCTGAAAGGTCTGTCTTAAAAACCCTGTGAAGCAGTTCTCTACTCTGCACACATGAGATCGACTCGAAGGCAGGTAACAACAAAGTGCAATTCACATTCAGGTAAAAGCATATGCCAAGGAAGGGTGAATTCCTGTGGAAAATGACAGATGAAATATAGCAATCAGATATAGAGGAACGTTTGAGATAGAAGTTTTTATTTCTTTTTTAAAAATTAAGACATTATTATTCTTAAGTGCTGTTGAGTTGGGTTCCAACTCCTAGTGACCCTGTATAGGGTTTCCAAGGAACATCTGGTGGGTTTGAATCACCAAACTCTGTCTGCAGTCCAGTGCTTATCTTACAGCGCCACACCAGGATTCCAAGTAAGACATAGTGATTCTGTGGAGTCAGTTCCAACTCCTAGTGACCCAACATAGTTTCTGAGGCTGTAAAACTTTACAAGAACAGAAAGTCTCATCTTTCTCCCACAGAATGGCTGGTAGTTTTGAATTGCTGACCTTGAGGTTAGCATCCCGACTTGTAACCCCTATACTACCAGAATAAAATAGGTGTAAGTGGCAGACAGGGGGATAGAGATTGAAAAGCAGAGGAAGTGAATACTGATAAGGAACAAGTAGTAAGTCCTGATAAAAGGTCCACTTGGTCCCTTTTCCAGGGAGCCTGACATGGGAAATAGCCCACATTCAGTCACCTGGAAGAGGTCAGAAGCTTTCTTGGCCCAGACTGTATTTGAAGTCAATACTAAACTGTTAAATCTCTACTGAAGACAGTCAGAATACAATGAGGACATCTTGTAAACAAAGCAAGTTTTTTGCACAAACCTTAACTTTGCAAAAGAGTTTATCTAACTTTGCTTTCCAATTACCTGTTGGAGGAAGATTAGGCTCTCCACTTTGTTGTTAAGTGCCATCAAGTTGGTTCAGACTCATAGTGACCCTGTATTTCCCTGTCTCTGCCAGAGGTGTGAGGGCAGGAAGAGAATGACCAGGCCAAGCCTCCACTACGCCAGTCCTCAGCTCAGGTATTCAGTAGTCAAATAAATGACATGGAAATATCTCACTCTGGAACCTGGGGTCTTCTGGTGTGGTGCTGTGGGCTAATGCACTGGACTGCAAAGTCTGTTGAACCACAAGGTTGGTGGTTCAAGCTCACCAGCTGCTCCTTAGAAAACCTAGACAGTGTTGCTACGGGTCAGAACTGATTCAACGGCACTTAACAACACCAACTACAACAACACAGAGCCTTAGACTGCTGTTTGGACTCAAGTGTCTCCCACAGCTGCCTCCGAAGCAGATGGCTTGTTACCACCCACCACACCCACACCCACACCTACCCCCGGGGCCTTTGTAAAGACTTCCCCCGCCTAGAAGGTTCTGTCATATGGAATCCTTCCACTTCTTCAAGACTTCCTCTAAATTACTTGTTCTATGAGTCTTCCCTGGACACCCCTCCCTGCCCCCTCTCTCCATTTCATTGTCATTCATCTTCTCTTTAAACTACATGGATTATTGTGTGCCTTAGTTATAACCTTTAACCTGCTGTCTCAAATTAGATGTGATCATCTTTGTGTCCTATTCTTCCACATTGGACTTTGGGTCCCTGACCTCAAATTTTCATGGTCCCTGCTGAGCTCAGCAACTTGCACTCGCTGCTGCTGTGTGCCGTTGAGTTGGTTCCAACTCCTAATGACCCTATATACAATTTCTGAAGTTGTAACTCTTTATAGGAGCAGAAAGTCTCATCTTTCTCCCTCGGTGGATTTGAACTACTTACTTTGTAGTTAGCAGCCCAATGCATAATCCACAATGATTCCAGGGCTCCTGACTCACACACAGTAGGCTGTTGTTTGTTGGAACTGAATTCACATAGAAACAAGAACTACCCGTCTCAGGCTTTGATATTATAGATCCAAGAAAAAGAGAGATACTGCCCAGAAGAACTCTTCATCTAATTTACTGTCATCACTGTCATTGTCATGTGCCATCGAGTCGGGTCCAACTCATAGTGGTCCTGAATAAGGTTTCCAAGGAGCAGCTGGTAGGTTTGAATGGCTGACCTTGTGGTTAGCAGTCCAGTGCAGATCCCACAGCACTATACCAGGTCTCCCAAAAACTTGATGACCAATCTAATTAGCTTTTCCAATTCCAGAATCTTCTTCTAACAGATAGGCTAAGCATAGTAACTGTTTCTCTGATCACCTGTATCCTCCCAGGCCATTATCTGAAGCCAAGCCCTCTGTCTCCTGGAACACTGAAACTCTCACTGTTCCACTGTGTCCACACCTCTGCCGTCTGCCCCCGCCCCACCTCGTCCCTGCAAATAGCCAGAGTCGTCTTCTTAAAAGCAGTTGTAATACTATCATCCTCTTTCTTAAAACCCATCAGTGTTTTGCTGTTCATTTTAGGATTTCCCCTCTTGTTGAAGGAATTTGCACAGGCTCTTCCCTTTACCCAACTTCCCCACTTGGGCCTTAGCTATGAGTCCTAACAGCTTTCAGCTGCCCTCTAACATGTCACTTTCTTGGTGAAATCTTTTCTGACACTCTGGACTAAGGTAGGCCCTCCTACCAAGCACTGACAGCATTATGCTCCATCCTTCAAAATACTCACCATAGTTTATATTCACATATTGATTTACGAGATTATTAGTTTGTGGCATTAAGCTTCGTCCTCCCCTCTAGCTCCATGAAAAGTCCAGTACAGTGCCTGCTATACATAACACAAAGCCTACCTACTCCCTCATATTTATTGAAAGAATGAATATATTCTACCATCGGATACAAATTCTTATGGTATTTTAATATTACGTCCTTTTAACTTTTTTTGTGTATTGAGTGAAGGTTTACAGAGAAGATCATTAGTTTTACATCCAGCAAATCATATATTTTGCTTCATTATAGTGATTGCGATCCCCTCCAGGTACCATCAGTTAACAGTGTTTACCTTTATTTCCTTTAACTCTTGTATTCCTTGATGTGTCTACTGCTACCTTATCTGCCCTCTGCTAACCTCCCTCTTTGTACTGCCTGCTCTCTCACTCATGTTACCATGTGTCTACCCTCTAGCCCCTGAATAATTCCCTCCACCTCCCAATCCCAGCACGTCTTGCCCCGGTAACCATCATAGAATGTTTCATTTATCAATAATGAGATTACGTTTCTATATAAGAATGTTTATACAAGGTAGATGAGTTAGTTGAAGGACTTGGAACAGCTAACTTAACCATTCCAAGGCCTTGATTTTTATAATCGATACAATGGGGATAATAATAGAGATTTCCTGGGGCTCCCGGGGTGATTGTGATGGTTAAGTAGCATAATGGCATGTGGCAGGCCATTAAAAAATGTTGACTTTGAGTCCTGCCGCTGGACTGGACAGATCCTGTCACTTTCTTTGCTGATGATCCGAGTGGATCTCTCCCCACAACAGGATGTAACTATCTTATCAGCATGTGCACCTCCAGGTGGTGGCCGCAACCCTGTGACCCCCCGCTTCATCCGACACTTCAGCATGTTGTGCCTCCCAACGCCCTCAGAGCACAGTCTGAAACAGATTTTTCAGGTGAGTATGGAGTTAATCTAGACAAGAGGTAAATATATGCATACATCTTCCCCCATCAAAGTGGTCTGTTGTGTTTATAAGTAGCCCATCTGTCTTTCCCTAAGCAGAAACCAGGTGACACAGAGAAACCTGATGAACAGCTGAACAGGCATTTGTGTCCCTGTCACTGTGTTTATGGCCCTAGAGATAGTTTTCGGACTGCAAAAAGATTGCCAAGAGCACAGTTCTAGTCCTTAAGGAAGGCTACATCGTTAAGGCCTCTGTCTCTCAGCAGATCTCATCCACTGCCCAGCCCTCTCCTCTGTGCTCAGCTCATTCCTGACCACCAGTTTTGTGCCCATTAAATGGCAACACCTGCTGTGCCCCTGAATGAACTTAATCTCACTAAACCTAAAACAGTACTCCTCACCTCTGCCACCACCACTACCTCCAACAAGACCATCCATATTTCATTCACCTGAACTAATTCCCTAAGGGACCACTGTCTCCTCTTCTGAATGGAGAGAATAAGGATGTCTGCTTTGTAAGGTGACTTCAAAGATTAAATTCAAAGTGCTAAGCCCAAATGTTCAATAAAAAGACATTGTTTTGAGTAGAATGATGAAAGAATACGAAGCACCATGACTAGAATGTGCCTAAAAAAGATAGTCTTGGAGAATGTAAATTGACAAGTAGGAGAGATCCTGGAAATGGAAAGCCCTTGGTTACATGCAATCACAGAGAAACAGAAAAGGGGATGCATGTGCAGAGCAAGATCGTTTTGGCGACTGGCAAACAAACAGGCTTCAGGAATTCACGGAATACAAATTGAAATCTTTCAACAAACTGATGCAGCACTGGAGGTGCTCACTTACATATGTCAAGAAATTTGGAAGACAGCTTCCTAACCAATGTAGTGGAAGAGATCTTTTTATCTGTGCCTATTCCAAAGAAAAGTGACCAAATGGAATGTTGAAATCATTGAACCATATAATTAATATTGCATGCAAGTAAAATTGTGCTGAAGATCATTCACAGTCCAACTTTCATATGTATATGAGGCTATTGAATATGCAATGGCTTGGGTCAGGCACACCTTAGTCCTCAAAATGACACTTTTGGTCTTCATCACTTTAAAGAGGTTTTGTGCAGATTTGCCTAATGCAATATGTCTTTTGATTTCTTGACTGCTGCTTCCATGAGTGTTGATGGTTGATCCAAGCAAAATGAAGTCTTTGGCAACTTCAATCTTTTCTCCATTTATCGCAATGTTATTTATTGGTCAGCTGTGAAGATTTTTGTTTTCTTTACCTTGAGGTGTAACCCATACTGAAAGCTGTAGTGTTTGATCTTCATCAGTAAGCATTTCAAGTCCTCTTCATCAGTCCTTTTTTGTTTTCAGCAAGCAAGGTTGTGTCATCTGCAAATCACAAGTTGTTAATGAGTCGTCCCCCATTCGTGATGCCATGTTCCTTAGCTGCTGTAATATGGTATACTTTACTGAGATGAAAATCTGGGCTTAGGAGGAGTTCATAGTTCTCAGTAAGAAGCATTTTAAAACTCAGGGAAGAATCGTCGATCATCCACCCATAAATATCAGAGAAAGGACTTTAGTTCATTTCCAGATGAGTTTGGGCTTTCCATAAAGACCCTCTGGATCCATCAGCAAGTAGAGGTCTGAACCACTTGAGAGTAAAGCATGGTCAGTTCACTAGTTAGCTATGGATGCCACTCAGGCATCATTGACCAATTAGATAAAACAGGAGTGAACCCATTCTTGAGAACATAGTCTAGAGTCTATATAAGGACTTTAGTACCCAGATGTCTTTACATTGGAATCTTGCTTTCTGGTTATTATTAGAAAAAGTGTTATCAGATCTGAAGGACTGATAGATAAATATTTGGTTACAAAAAAAGTCTAACCCTCTCCCATTGTGTTTCTGGTTTCAGGCCATTTTAAATGGCTTCCTGAATGACTTCCCACAAGCTGTAAAGCAAACTGCCTCAAACATTGTTGAAGCCGCAGTTGAGATTTATAACAGAATGAGTATTGACCTTCTCCCAACACCAGCCAAGTCCCATTACGTCTTTAATTTAAGGGATTTATCCAAATGTGTGCAAGGTAGTGTACTGAACCCTCATTCTCTGATCTCTCCCCTTCCTTCATTTCCACTGACCCACAAATCTTACCACAGATCCTCGGTCTTTCCAAATCCTGTTTTGGCGATTCTCTGATTCTGTTTTCTTTTTCCTGCCCTGTAGCCTGGCTCTTCCTTCCAGGAATGCCTACTGTCTTTGCCACAGAACAACACAATAAGTTTTCCTCTTCCTCCGTTGAAAGTTTGCCTCCCATATTAGCAGTGTAGCCCTGGCATGGATGAATGCATTTTTATCCTAGACAACTTTGGAACATGCTGTGTTTCTTTTAATGGTACTAAAGTGCTTTGGAATCACTTCCTGCTCCTCAGTTATTGTCTAATCATGTATCACCCTTCTACACTGTGTTCTGTTCCTATCTTTTCAATAACTTCTGAAAGCCTCAAAAGCCAGGGTCCATTTGTGTCTAACAATAATATGGTATATTATAAAGTGAAATTCCCATTTTAATTATCTTTCTCCTTGTCCCCACATATCATTAAAACATTGTGGAAACTTTTTTATTTCCACTAATGTTGACTGAGAAATATCGACACTTCAATCATTTTAAAACACATTGATATTACAGACACAAATACACAAACTTGAGCTATAAAAGGGTATAGAAATACTACCTATACCTATAGAAATACCCTGTAAACCTTCACTCAGTTCACAATAAAAAGTTTTTTTTTTTTAATTAGAAAGAAATATCCTATTACTCCACAGTAGCATGAGACTCCTGTGAGGGAGCAGTCCTCCTCTGCCATGTTAGGGTCACTGTGAGTCTGAAGCACTCAGTGGCATTGGACAGTGGAAAGGTAATTCTATGTTTAACTTTTTTAGGACACACCAAACTGCTTTCCATTCCACTAGTAATGTACAAGTGTTTCCATTTCTCCACATCCTGGCCAACATTTACGATTTTTCATTTTATTGTTATTAACCATCCTAGCTATCTCATTGTGGTTTTTATTTGAACTTCCCTAAACACTGGACTGGAAGCACTGGACTCCAAACCACAAGGTCCAGGGTTCAAGCTTGTCAGCCGCTCCGTGGGAGAAAGATGGGGCTTACTGCTTCCACAAAAACTTAAAGCCTCAGAAACCCTATATAGAGTCCCATGAGTTTGAACCAACTCGAAGGCACTTAACAACAGTGGCTAATGATATCAAGCGTTTTACTAGCCATTTGTATGTCTTCTTTGGGGAAATGTTTATCAAAGTCCTTTGTTTGTTTTGTTGTTGTTGTTAGCACTTGTCTTTTTTTTTTTTTTTTAATATGGTAAGAACTAGACACCTAAACCTCTGTCGTTTTAAGTATACAATTCAGTGATATTAATCTTCTCATGCTTATATCACTCCTGTTTCCAAAATGGTACATTATCCCAAACCAAAAGGCCTTCACCTTTGCCCATTTTTAGAACACATATATTTTTCAAGAAACGTGGCCCTCCCGCTTAAAATATTGCAACTCAATGTGATAATGAGATCTGATCACTTTGTATGTTCAATTAAAGAAACATCACAAAACAAGAAAAAAGTGGGTTTTGTCAGATAATGTGTCCCAATTTAGTTTTTTTAAAAAAAAAAAAAATGAGATCACCATTTTATGTGGGTATAGATGGGAGTCATCAGTTTTTGGTGGTGGGGGATAAATTTGTACTTGAGGATTTTCTAATCAGTAACTTTAAAACGATTACTTGGATATTTCACTAAGGTAGAATTTCTTTCTCCCTCTTTTCTTAAAATACAGGTATCCTCCAGTGTGATCCAGGAACAATAAGAGAAGAAATGCAGATTTTTCGACTCTTTTGCCATGAATGTCAAAGAGTCTTCCATGATCGTTTGATTAATAATGAAGACAAGCACTATTTCCATGGTATTTTGACAGAAATGGCCAGTAAGTCTCAGTCTCTCTTCATCTGTCATGGCATTGTGCGGTTTGTCTTCTTGGTTTGTTTGTTTCTGATAACAGAAAACCAATATGACTTCTATGATGGAAAACTAAAATGAGTTTATAGATTGTAACATAAAACAAATTTCAGACACTTACGAATAAAAGTTCTTTTCTTTGATGGCTCAGGTGTAAGATTTATTATGAAAGTTATTTTCTTGAAATTCAAGAGCTCAAGCTTAATATTGTAAATTCAGTATTTGAATTTTAAGCAGAGGGAAAGTAGAAGTAGTGTTTTGTCTGAGAAGCAGCCAGGAAATTTTTTAAATGCTTCTTGTTAAGAAAGAATGTGTTCACTATTTCTTAAAAATTTTAAATATTTATTGAGTATTCTTCATCTTCAATCTGAATAATTGTCAACCAGACTGAAGTGGTTCAGTGTTAACCTGGCTCTCGCTCTCTTAGTTTTTATTTATACTAATTAGGACTTTGGAAGGAGCTCTGGTAGCATAGTGGTTACGAATCGGGCTGCGAACCTTAAGGACAGCGGTTCGAAACTACCAGCCGCTACGCGGGAGAAAGATGAGGCTTTCTACTCCCGTAAAGATTTACAGCCTTGGAAACCCTGTACAGGGTCGCTATGGGTCGGAACCGACTCAATGGCACTTAACAACAACAACAACAACAACAATTAGGACTTTGACGTGAAATAACAGCTGATATTATATTAATTATATCATTAAACATAATTCTATACTTATCATTAAATATATCACGTTATCATTGTTAACATGTATTATTAAAATACTGTAATCAAGTTTATCATTATATTAAAATTAATTTTGTTTTTTATATAGACAAACATTTTGGAATTGCAATTGACCTGGAATATTTTTTGAGTAAGCCCATCATATTTGGAGATTTTATTAAGGCAAGTATGTTTGTTACTTGCATTTTAAGGATCTAAAGCATTTGCCATTTTCCAAATCAGGTTTAAATTCTATTAGAACTTTGCCTCTGTGACGATAAAGATCTAGACCAGAAGTCAGCAAACTAAGTATGACCCATGTCTCAAATGCAACCACCTCCTGTTTTCGTATGTATGATTTCGTTGGAACACAGCCACACCCATGGCCGCCAGTTTTGTAGTCTCCGAGAGGCTGCTTTCCCACTGCACTGTCAGAATGGCCAGCATGATGGAGACCACAGGAGCCACAAAGCCTCAAATAGTTACTGTCTGGCCCTTTACAGAAAACATTTGCTGATCACTGATCTAATTAAATTGTTTTCATTATAGTTTGAATCAGAACGCAATCAGGCATTTAATTTGTAAGAAAGCCAAGAGGTTAAGTCTCTTAACTCAGAACCAGAATCCCCTTCCTGAGCTCTATCTACCTGTTCAATCTCTGTTTAAACACTTCCAGGGATGAGAAGTGACTTAGTAGAACTTCCCTCTTCATTTCAGGGTAGGCCTAATTAGTAGCACATTTTTCCTTATAGTAAATCTTTTAAGTCTGTCTCCACAGTGATTTTTAACATGGACCCTAATTTTACCCTGTGGCCCAGCCTAGAGAAACTCATCAATTTCTAACCACCCTGCTTATACTGACAAATGACCATTGTGTTTAAACAAGTTGGCTTTTCTTTGGTTACACCATTTCCTGTGTGTCCAAGAGAGGAGGTGCCATGTGTTCTGTTCATACAGTGCTGGTTACATGAACGTACTTGTCTCTATATAATGTGTATATGATACCTCACTACTCTGGTGAATGCTGTGGGCCGTCGAGTGGCTTCTGATTCATAGTGACCCTAGAGGACAAGGTACAACTGCCCCCGTAGGATTTTCTAGACTGTACTCTTTAAGGCTCCTGATACAGTGGTATAGAATAGACACTGGACTGCTAAACACAAGGTTGGCAGTTCAAGTTCTCCAGCCACTCCTCAGAAACCCTGCACAGGACTGCTGTGAGTTAGAACTGACTTCACAGCACTTAGCATCAACAATAACAACAGTCTTTGAGAAGATCATCTTTCTTTGGAGTGGGCACAAATGTGGATCTCCTCCAGTTGGTAGGCCAGGTAGTTGGCACAGACAAGTGAGCACTTCCAGCATTGCGTCTGTTGAAGCTTCTCAATTGGTATTCCATGGATTCTTGGAGCCTTGTTTTTCTCCAGTCTTCAGAACAGCCTGGACCTCTTCCTTCAGTAGCATCAGTTCCTTCTGTACCATTGGATGTATCATGGCTTCCAGAAGAATGAACAAATCTGCCTTGGAAGAAAGACAGCCAGAACGCACCTCAAAAACAAGGATGATGAGACTTTGTCTTACATTTGTTGTTGTTGTTGTCAGGTGCTGTCTCTCGGTACTGACCCATAGCAACCTTATGCACAGCAGAACGAAACACTTGCATGATCCTGGGCCAACCTCACTACTGTTGTCACGCTTGAGTCCATCAATGCTGCCACTTGGCCAATCCATCTTGTTGGAGGGTCTTCCTCTTTTTCGCTGACCCTCCACCTTACCAAACATGATATATTTCTCCAGTGACTGGTCCCTCCTGGCAATGTATCTAAAGTATGAGAGATGAAGTTTGGCCATCCTGGTTTCCAAGGAGCATTCTGGCTGCACTTCTTCCAACACAGATCTGTTGGTTCTTTTGGCAGCCCATGGAACTTTCAATATTCTCCTCCAACACCATAACTCAAAAGCATCAATTCTTCTCCGGTCTTCCTTATTCACTGTCCCGATTTCGCATGCATATGAAGTTATTGAAAATACCATGGCTTGGGTCAGGCATGACATCTTTGTCTTCAAGCTGACATCTTTGCTCTTTAACACTGTAAAAAGGTCTTGTGCAGCAGATTTGCCTAATGCAATATGTAGTTTGATTTCTTGACTGCTGCTTCCATAAGTGTTGATCCAAGAAGAATGAAGTCCTTGACAACTTTGATCTTTTCTCCATTAATAAGAATGTTGTTTATTGGTCCAGTAGTAAGGACTTTTGTTTTCTTTACATTGAAATGCAATCCATACCGAAGACTGTACTCTTTGATCTTCATCAGTAAATGTTTTAAGGCCTCTTCACTTTCAGCAAGCAAGATTGTATCATCTGCATATCACAGGTTGTTAATGAGTCTTCCTCCAATCCTGATGCCATGCTTTTCCTCATAGAACCCAGCTTCTTGTATTATTTGCTCAGCATACAGGTTAAGTATGGTGAAAGAATACAACCTTGTCGCACACCTTTTTTAATTTTAAACCATTCAGTATTTCCATGTTCTCTTCGAACAACTGCCTCTTGGTCCAGGTACAGATTCCTCATGAGTACAATTAAGTGATCTGGAATACTCACATTTCGCAATGTTGTATTACATACTTTGGGTATATTACCAGGAGGGACAAGTCCCTGGAAAAGGATATCAAGATTGGTGAAATAGAGAATCAGCCAAAAAGGTGACCCTCAACAAGATGAATTACCACTGTCACTTCAACAATGGGCTCTTACATGGCAACGGTTGTGAGGATAGCTCAGGAGCCAGCAGTGTTTGATTCTGTTATGCACAGTGTCATTATGAATTGTAACCAACTTGGAACTCACTTGACAGCACATAAAAACAACAGCAATCCTAAGGGAGCAGATTTCTGGGTCTTTTCTCCCACAAAGCGGCAGGTGGATTCAAACTATCAACCTTTCATTTAGCAGGTTCCTCAGATGAAGATGATCTCTTGAAAAAATATATAAGAAAATAAACAATTTCTTTGTATGAAGGTTTATTTTCAGGTACAGATGAAAGTGTGTTCCTACTAAGATCAAATGGGAAAATAAACCATAGGAAAAAGAACAGCTGGAGTCTTCTTGAATCACCTGTATATGTTTCAGTAAAAGATTACAGGTGAAAATGACCCACAGGCTAGTTGCTACAGCAGAGAAAAGACATCATCATAGGCTCAAGTACAACTATTACTACTCATTTTATTCATTTCCATAGCATCTATTTGGAGTCATGTGACCCCATGTGTATCAGAGTAGAACTGTGCTCAACAGGGTTTGCAGTGGCTGCTTTTTCAGATGTCGATCACCTCTGGAGCACTTGAATAGCCAACCTTTTTATTAGCCCTTGAGCCTTAAACATTTGTTCCACCCAGGGACTCCAATAGGTTCACACAGAATTCAGCTCCCTGTGGTCTGCAACTCAGATTTTATTCTTGACAATTTAACCCCGGATGGCTGCTGTGAAATATTATATGTTGTTATAAAAGTAATTATTTTTTATGACCATGAAAGTCTACCATGAATAATTTTCTACCCATTTATCCTGATGTCAGTGGCCTTAGAGCAAGAGTGTGAAACCAGAGTAACGCATAAGTGAAGACATTAAACACCTCTCCCAAGCTCATGTGTGAGTGTTGGTGCAGAAGCTATCAGTACTGCAACAGAACACTTGAAGAGTTACATGAATGAACTTTCCAGTTACCAGTGAAAATCTGGGTTTCACTAGTCCCATTTCCTTGATTTAAAAGCTCTACTGGCAAAAGCTATCAACAAATGATTTATCGAACAACACAGACAAAATAGTGTTGTTTCTTAAAGTTATGTGTATTATGTGCATCTTATATATCAGAATTGATCCAACTTGATTTTCTCCCACAAACCTTCTTACAGTTTGGAGCAGATAAGAGTGATCGAATTTATGATGATATGCCTGATATGGAGAAAATTGCGAACGTGCTACAGGACTACCTGGACGATTATAACCTCACAAATCCCAAAGAAGTAAAGTTGGTGTTCTTCCAGGATGCTATAGAACACGTCTCAAGGTATAGTGCTATCATGAAACAAACCTACTGCCATCGAGTACATTCCAGTTCACAGCAACCCTACGTATGATTTCTGAAACTGGACATCTTTACGGAAGCAGACAGCCTCCTCTTCCTCCTACGGAGAAGTCTGGTGGGTCTGGGCCATTGGCCTTGTGGTTAGCAGCCCAATCACCTAGCCCATGGTGCCACCAGGATTCATAGTGTGATAAGGTGCTCTGTGATAAGGTGTCATTTCTCTTGGTTTAAAAGATAAGAATAAAGTGGTATAAAACTCTTTACATAGATTGCTAGATAGACAAAAGTCTATTAGTATATCTCACTGCAATTTAAAAGGCTTTAAAATGTATTTTAAATACATATGACATGGAATCCCAAGGGTTATTGGTTTTGTTATGTGTATTAGTAGATTGCTTTTTTTTTATTGTTTTTATATGTCCTGTCTATTTTCAAAAAAGATGTGAAGTGATTTACAAAGATATTTACACAGTATACCAGGGGTAACTACACACACATTCAAAGAGATGTTTCAAGATTACAACAAAACAAATGGAATCCAGGGATTGTGAAATCCAATTGCTGAATGATGTATCACTGGTCACCAGCTTTCTGGACCAAGGCAGGACCTCCCAGCAGAGGCCATATTTTAAAACTTGAAATGAGTCTTTCTCTGCTTTGTTTCCTACAGGATTGCCCGGATGATCCGACAGGAAAGAGGCAATGCCCTGCTTGTTGGAGTAGGAGGCACAGGAAAGCAGTCTCTTACGAGACTCGCAGCTCATATATGTGGTTACAAATGTTTGCAGATTGAACTGAGCCGGGGTTATAACTATGATAGCTTTCATGAAGACCTGAGGAAGTTGTATAAAATGGCTGGTGTCGATGACAAGAATATGGTTTTCCTTTTCACAGACACTCAGGTACACATAATAGTCCCCATATCAGAACAGAAAAAGTACAAGTGTTACAATTGTATGTTTGTATTAAACAGTTTGTAGGATGAAGTACTCAACGGCACTACACAACAACAACAGGATGAAGTGCTAGGGATTGTTCCCTAGCAGATTTCTTGGGCCTTGTAAAAAGATTTACATATTTTTACTTGTTTTACCAAGTATTATTGTCTTTTTAAAAATTCTAAAGGTGAGAACACTTTTTAACTTTTCTTTGATGGAAAAGGCAGAGAGCAGAAGGGCAGTAAGCTGTTTCTATAGAAGAAAATACAAGAAAGTAATTTACTGTTAGGGAACTGTGTTCTACCTGAGAAAAGAAAAAATATATATACTGCATTTTAGAGTCGAATTCACTTTAAAATTAAAAATTATATTATATATATATATTATAACCAATTTAACTGATCCTGAATTGATCTTGTAGTAGATTAGTAGATGAGAGATACTGAGTGTACACTTGTGTATTTTAACTTTAGGGAAAAATAACCTTTTTAGAAATTAGCCAAGGAACCGAAAACTAATAGCTTTTACCTATAAATAGTATAAGGAGCTGTAGTAGCGTAGTGGTTATGAATTGGGCTGCTAACCTCAAGGTTGGCAGTTCGAAACTACCAGCCGTTCCGTGGGAGAAAGATGAGGCAGTCTGCTCCTGTAAAGATTTACAGCCTCGGAAACCCTCTGTAGGTAGGGTCACTATGAGTTGGAACCAACTCCACGGTACTTAACAACATAAATGGTATAAACCTCCATTTATTGATTTAAAAAGTGTAAACAGGATGAAATACAAACATTAACTGGGAGAAATATTTTTACATGAAGAAATGTTTAGCCTCATCAATAATCAAGTAAATTTAAATTTAAATAAAGAAAAATGTCGGGGGTTCTGGCCTTGCCCATTGACCAACTCACAGCGGTGCTACAGGACCAAGCAGAACAGTCCTAGAGGATTTCCAGGCCATCAGTCTCTATTGAAGATTCTACAGGACCAAGCAGAACGGTCCTAGAGGATTTCCAGGCTGTCAGTCTCTATGGAAGCAGACATTAGCCATTACTTTTCAGTTAATGACCATCTGCTTTATCACTGTGCCACCGGGGTTCCATGTACATTGACAAAGATTAGAATTTGTAACATTCAGTATTAGCAAAGTTGGGGAGATGAGTCTAGTCACTGGTAGAATATGAATTAGCAAAATCCTTCTGGAAACTAGTTGGCAATAATTTCTCTTAAAAATAATCAAAGCTGCATAAAAAGTTGTATGTCTAAGAATATCTGTTGCAGCATTTTAAAATAACAATTAAGAATCTGAAATCCAATGACAGAAGTTGCATAGCAAATTATGTTATAATCACATAATATTGTTGTTGTTGTTAAGTGCCGTTGAGTGGACTACGACCCATAGCGACCCTGTATAGGATTTCCAAGGAGCAGCTGGTGACCTTGACCACAGACTTTGCAGTTCAAAGCAACTTTGCAGTCCAGAGCATTAACCCACAGTGCCACACCAGGACTCCAATCATATAATAGAACACAGTATAAAAATTCAAAATGAAATTGTAGCTATATTTATATTAATTAACATGAAAATTTTTTAATGTGTTTTAGATTATGACATGAATTTTTAAATCTGCATAAACATTTGGGCTTAATATTTATCTAAATAAAGATGCTATATATGCAATTTAAAAATGTCTAGGGCATGGAATTGTGAATGATTTTTATTTATCTATGTTGTTAATGTTAAGTGCCATTGAGTTGATTCCAACTCATAGTGACCCTGTACAGGATTTTTAAAGAGCAGCAAGTGGGTTTGAATCACCAACTTTGTGGTTCACAGTCCAGTGCTTATCCTACAGTGCCACACCAGGATTTCTTATTTATCCACAGTTTCTAATTATTCTAAACTTAAAATATTCCTTATAGAATTTTTCAAGCAAGTTAAAAAAAAATACTCCAAACATTAAATTGTTGTTATTGTTAAGTGCCTTCAAGTTGATTCCGACCCATAGCGACCCTGTATGGGGTTTCCAAGGAGCAGCTGGTGAGCTTGAACCGCCGACCTTGCAGTTCAAACGGCTTTGCAGTCTGGCGCATTAACCCACAGTGCCACACCAGGACTCTGAACATTAAATTAGCTTATCTTAATCCAATCTCAACTGTTTTGTATTAATGAAGAGTAAACATAACCATGATAACAAAAATTCCTCTTTACACATGCTGTTGTTGTATGCCATCGAGTTGGTTCTGACTCATAGCAACCCTGTATAGAGTTTCCATGGAGTGGCTAGTGGATTTGAACTGCTGACTGTTTGGTTATCAGTCCAGTGCTTATCCTACAATGCCACACCAGGAATCCATGTATATACATTTATTGTTGTTGTTGTTAAGTACCATCAAGTCAGTTCTGATGCTTAGCAAACCTGTATAGGGTTTCCAAGGAGCGGCTGGTGAATTTGAACCGCCGACCTTGTGGTTCAAACTGACTTTGCTGTCCAGCACATTAACCCACAGTACTACACCTAGACTCCGTGTGTGTACATATGTATGTACAAAACTGTTGAAAGTGTTCTAAATATGAGAAAAATTTAAAAGAAGCACAATAGCAAAAACAGAATTTAACTTGCTTCTAACTGGGACGTTGGCAGTTCAAACCCACCAGCAGCTCCTTGGAAACCCTATGCAGGGTCATTATGAGTTGGAACCAACTCCTTGGCACTTAAAAACAAACAAAAACAACTACTGGTAAATACAAAATAGAAATGTTGTTGTGTGCCGTTGAATGGGTTCTGACTCATAGTAACCCTGAGTGGCTGGTGGGTTTGAACAGCCAACCTTACAGTTACCAGCCCCATGCTTACCCTACAATGCCACACCAGGGCTCAAACATAGAAAGAAGTTGTTTTTAAATAAAATAAAGAATATTATTTCTAAGTTGGAATTAATAACTGTACACTGTATTTTATGTTTTATAGGGGAAAATATATATCAGTACTACTGAAAAAAATTTTTTTAATGATTTTCTATTGTTGTTAAGTGTCATCAAGTTGTTCTGACTCCTAGCAACCCTGTATAGGGATTCCAGGGCTTTAAATTTTCGCATGGGGCTGTAAGTCTCATCTTTCCCCAGAAGAGCAGCTAGCAGACTTGGTTCACAATCCAGTGCTTACTGAATTTTTTGTTCAGTTTAAAGAAATGTTCAATAAATTCAAAAAGGTCAAAGCTATACTATAACACTCTTTGTCCAAGCTTTAATCAATGGAATATTTAATGATGTAGCTCAGAACTTTAAAACATTCAAATACAGAACTCTTGGGTCAAGAAAAACAGTATCAAGATCTCTACTTAGAGAATAGTGAAAGCAAACTTACTGTAAATAAAAATTTATGGAACATAATCAAACCATGTTGTTGTTGCTGTTAAGTGCTGTCGAGTCAGTTCCAACCCATAGTGACCCTAATTCAGCATTAAAATCATAGATTTAAGTCAAAATGTAAAGCTACATAACTTATTTGGCTTAATATTTTATGAATCAATATTTTAGGAAAATAAGATCACAAGGGAAATTAACAGAAATAATTATACCAAATCCATTGAAAAAAAGATACCAAGAACATTTGCATTATTAAATACATAGGATTCATATTTTACATAACAAAGAAAACTAACTGAAACAAAAGAGTAAATTATGTTTTAAAATATTTACAATATGAGAGACAAAAGGTTTTATTATATAACATGTAAAAGTATTCATTGAAATTTAAAAGAAAACTTCAATAGATAAATTAACAAATAGTTCATTTTAAACAAAAGAACTAGCATATGTAAGACAATATCTGTCCTTGCTAATAATCAAAGAATCACAGCCGATATCTGTAAAAAGAAACATTTATGCTCCCCCAAATACTCCTGGAGTCCTGGTATGGCTCTGTGGGTTAATGCGCCAGACTGCAAAGGCATTTGAACTACAAGGTCAGCAGTTCAGGCTCACCAGCAGCTCCTCAGAAACCTTATACAGGTTCGCTATAGGTTGTAATCGACTTGATGGCATTTAACAACAACAACAAATACTCCTAATGTGGCGCTGTAGGATCAGCACTAGACTGCAAACCACAGGTTGTCAGTTCAAGCCCACCAGCTGCTCCTCAGAAACCCTATACAGAGTCACTGAGTTGGAGCCAACTTGGGGGCACTTAACAACAATGACAATATTAGAATATTAAGATTCTATTTCCTTTTTGAGTTAATCTTTTCTTAAACACATAATTAACTAAATGTCAAGTTTAGATCAAATATTTACTTAGTATTTTATTTGTAATAAATACAAAGTGCTCAGTGACTTGTAGTAACCATTGTGCTTTTGTCTACAGATTGTCGTGGAGGAGTTCCTAGAAGATATAAATAACATCCTGAACTCCGGTGAAGTGCCTAATTTATTTGAGAAGGATGAACTGGAGCAGGTTTTAGCTGCCACTAGACCAAAAGCAAAAGAAGTAGGAATTTCTGAAGGGAACAGAGATGAGGTAGGGCATACTGAAATGGACACATGGTTTTGTAAATAAAAAGTTGTCTCAGCCTTTTGGTTAAAAATCCTTAAGTTTCTTTAAAGAGTCTGGAATAGGAAGGGGAAAAGGGGGAGGTGTCTGAGGGACACTGAACTTCTATTATAGGTGGTGGAATTTGCCTTAGTTGATTTCTTACTTCTTATTGTGACTTGCTCAGCATACAGGTTGAATAAGTATGGTAAAAGAATCCAGCCCTGTTGCACACCTTTCTTAATTTTAAACCATTCAGTGTTGCCATGTTCTCTTCGAACAACTGACTCTTGGTCCATGTACAGATTCCTCATGAGCACAATTAAGTACTCAGGAATACTCATACTTCATGGAAGCAGTAGTCAAGAAATCAAATGACATATTGCACAAGACCTTTTAAAAATATTGAAGAGCAAAGAGGTAAACTTGAAAACTGAGGTGTGTCTGACCCAAGCCATGGTATTTTCAATAACCTCATATGCATGAGAAAGCTGGACAGTGAATAAGGAAGACTGTAGAAGAATTGATGCTTTTGAGTTATGGTGTTGGAGGAGAATATTGAAAGTGCCATGGGCTGCCAAAAGAACCAACAGATCTGTGTTGGAAGAAGTGCAGCCAGAATGCTAATTGGAAGCCAGAATGGCCAAACTTCTCTCATACTTCAGACATATTGTCAGTAGGGACCAGTTGCTGGAGAAGGATATCATATTTGGTAAGGTGGAACATCAGAGGAAAAGAGGAAGACCCCCAGCGAGATGGACTAGCAAAGTGGCAGCATCAGTGACTCAAGCGTGGCAATAATTGTGAGGTTGGCCCAGGATTGGGCAGTGTTTCGTTCTGCTGTGCATAAGGTCGCTATGAGTCAGTACCGTCTTGATGGCACGTAACCACAAAAAATTGTGAATTGGGTGAAGGTGTATAGAGCAGATCATCAGTTTTACATTCAACAATTGACACACATTGTGTTTCCTTTCCTTGGTTGCAATCCCCTCAATCACTTATCACACTTCTTTTCTTGGTTTCCTGTTTCCACTTTTCCTTCTTTCCGAACCCTGCTGAACTTCATCCTTAGGTAAATATTGCCCTTCAGATGTCAAGTGTTTGATTATTTTAAGGTGTGTGTGCCTCACTAGTGTTAAAATTAAAGTCACTGAATTGTGTGAAGAATGTTGAAAAGCACATGATTTATTACATATATATTTGTCATCATAAAAATATATATGTATATATATATATACACATATATACATACAATATATATATACATATATACATATACATATATATATATAGTGAGATCTGGTGTGGTACTGTGGGATAAAGCAATGGACTGCAAGGTCCACTTGAACTACAAGGTCTGTGGTTCAAACTCACCAGCTGCTCCTTGGAAACCCTATAGAGGGTCACTATGAGTCCGAACCAACACCACAGCACGTAACAATAATATATATGTTGTTAAGTGCTATCGAATCGATTCTGACCCATAGTGACCCTGTAGAGGGTTTTCAAGGAGCAGCTGGTGAGCTTGAACCACCGATCTTGCAATTCAAATGGTTTTGCAGTCTGATGCATTAACCCACAACGCCACACCAGGACTTCTAATAATATGTATATATCACAATGGAACAGTAGTTAGAGTAGTCTAACTCAAATTTCCTTTGTTATCAAAAACGAGTGCTATCTTCCAAAAGTGCATTGCCATTGAGTCAGGGTTTTATTTTGTTGTTTTCTTGTCAGGTGTTTCAGTACTTTATCAGCAGAGTGCGTCAGAAGCTGCACATTGTTCTCTGCATGAGCCCTGTGGGAGAGGCGTTTCGAGCCAGATGTCGGATGTTTCCATCCCTTGTGAACTGCTGCACCATTGACTGGTTTGTCCAGGTTGGTGACAACCCTTATGGAGAAGGTGGACATGCTTGAGTTTAAAGTAGTAACATATTGTCAAAGAATAACCATTAGCTGAAAAGGTCACTTAGGAATTTATTTGTCTTCCAGGGATGAATTGACCATATTGCTGTCATAAGACAAAGGCAAAAGCAGGATTTATAAAGGATGAGAAAATCACTGAATTATAAAATGTACAAGTTTTTGGTGATCTTGACAGGAACTGTTTTCTTAAAGTGGTGGGGGAGAATGTTCAAAAGAGAAGAGAGAAGAGGAATCAGAGAAAACAAGTAAAAGCTCCTCTTTGACAGAGTTCTGCCCTAAAGCGCTGACAGCTGGGGAAATAACTAGAGGAGTGTGTGAAGTCAAGAGAGAAGTATTTGCAAAAGAGAAACACTAAAGAACATATGTGTGAAACAGATGAAATTGGTCCAGAAAGAGAAAGAGATGATACAGAAGACAGAACTAAGTGGTATTGACCTGAGTAGGGAGTATGCATAGCTTATCCCAGAGTAACAAGAGGGAGGGCAAAGAAGATGAACACAGAGGCAGGTGAGGGGTAGATGTACAGTTTTCTTTCATTGTTTCTGTTTTTCCAGTGATGTAGGAAGCAAGACCATCAACTGAGAATAAAGAGAAAAGAGGATGTGTAAGAGGTTTGAGTGGATGGACAACAATAACAAAATTGTGTTATTAAGAGAGTTAAAAGTGAATATACTAGAGAATTATTGGCATTCCGGACCAGGAAGAATCAGAGAAGTCCACAGAAGAGACAGTTGAAGAGCTTCTTGGAGAAAATTTCCCTAACATCTTGAAAGATGAGAAGATAAACATTCAAGAAGCTGAACGTACCCCAGGAAGGATAGACCCCAAAAGAAAATCACCAAGACATATAATAATCAAGCTCTGCAAAATCAGATACAAGGAGAGAATACTAAAAGCAGCCAGGGAGAAGAGAAGTATCACC